AAATGTTGATTTGCAAACTTGAACACGCGAACTATCGATCTTAGGAAGGAAGTAATGGATGTTGAATTTGCTATTCACCTTAGCATTTACAACCATACGCTTCTTATCGACTTTAGTGATCAGTCCAGCCAAGAAGTTTCTCTGTGCTTGCAAATTGCCCAGTTTCCAGTATTTATCGAATACTGCAATTCGATTTTCATGACGCAAAGTTTCTTTGCACTTATAAATGCATTTACAGCTTATTGGTCGAATAGAACGGGCTTGGTAATGTTTAGTGACTCTATTTACCGTTCCTTTATCAGTTTTCACAAGACTAACATATTCATATCCTCTTCCTTCGTTCCTCTCTCTCTTTTTCTTGTTTTTAATCCAGTTGTCAACACCTTCGCCCTCACGCTCACGAATAGGAAGATTCAGAGGCTCCGGTTGCTCCTCTGAAAGTTAAAAGTTTATTTTGATCATAAAAAACAACATTTAATGAGTTTTTTCAAAAGTTTCAATTGGAAGACTACCGTAAGTATAATAGTTATTCAATTAACTAGTACTTCAATGAAGGCGATAAATCATCAAGATAATTTAACGTTCGAGCGCAGCGAGTACGTTAACGTTCGAGATCATTAATCGCTATTTCAATATAAGAGTTGATTACCAAACTCTTCTGTCGATCTCGTTGAATGAATTTTCAATAAGAAAACATTTTTAACAAAAAAAAAACGGTACATATTCAGATTTGACAATACATGATTTTAACTGCGCATAAAAAAAGATATTTTTCGAGAATATTCCAGAAATTACAGTTTCGAAAACATATTAGATCATTTGAACCGAATTTGGTTTGATTGCAAATATATTATGTTTCAAGAATTAACCATTAAAATAATTAACGGCAGTGGAAGTTTCCTCTCCAGAAGCTACATCTGCTGAGCTAATATTTTCGAGAAGTTCAACATCTAATGGAGTTGTATCATGATCAGATTGCAAAGATCTGCTCAATTCATTCGGTCCATTTTCTTCAAGATCTGAAATTTCATAAAATAGTGAGAATTATAAGAAGTAAACTGATTTGATTTCATGTATGAAATAAATTTTCAAGGAATGACAAGACAAAAATCACAGATTCCTCTTACATGCAATTCATTCAAAAAGCAAATAAAAATAAGCGATGAATGTAAGTACCTTCGAAACAATTTTCTACGTGATCTAGTGTAGTCGTCAATGCTTTTCCAAATTCAACTGATTGGACCGAAAATTCTTCTGAAATGAACTATTTCCAAATGGAAGGAATAATTCGAGTTTATATTTATATATTTCGAATTTGAAATAACTCACCAGATTCGTGAGTAGGGATTGAAGAAACTCGCACTGGGATGAGAAAATCTCCGTCTGTATTTTCAGGCTTCTTACTGTTTTCAAAATCCATGTTTGCTTTGCTTAATGCATTTATTTGGTCAGCGAGTCGAAGAATTATTTTTCCCCGGTTAGTTGCCATTTTTTTATCCATTATAAACAGTATAATAAGTTTCAATGCAGAATAACGTTGAAAAATTCCAATACTTTTAACACACCAAACAAAAAACTGACTGATATTCATATGAGAAGATCGTAACAAAATCGAAATACACAGCACGTATTGACACTTGAGGACCCTAAGGACGCCACGAACACTACTAATTTATGAAATCAAAACGACATAGGAACCCATCAGGTTTCTCGACGCTATGCATAAATTCTAGGAAACGCAAAATCAAAGAGGCAAATGCGTATCTAATATCTGTTTATATCAGCTTCTGGTTTGACAATTGGAAGAATGCAAGAGGAACAAGGGCAACTTGAATCTATTTATCACGTTATCAAATGATAGGTACAATCAAAAGGAATCAACATGCAATTTTGACGATTCATCTTAGATTTGTTCAGAGCGCAATGCACAATACAAACGGTATAACCCACAAGCTAGGTCTCCCGATCCCGTTTGTCGTTGGACGTTATTGAACAATACTAGAGGCTTAAGTGTCGGACGAAACATCTCTTCTTGTTCATTAATATGACTGTGAAAACAATACAATCGTCTAATGATATGTTTGAATCTCTTTATCTCATAATTACTGGCACACACCAGAACAGTACTATAGTATTTTGGGAGGCTCGTACCACTTCTTCCTGTTTTGGCGTTTTCTACCTTTTTCAGACACACTTGTGCCCCTTGAGAATTCATCAGGCGATATGGCCGACAGCCGTTCTTAGTTGTTCACCCTGTACAATAGGTTGAGAACCGCTGTTCCTGTTGACTTGAAATATATGATCATGAATATGATGTTTTTTCTTCATTTGATAGAGTTGACTGATGAAATTGAAATATTTTATTGGAAATACTGAAATTGATGAAGTAGGGGTATGTCATTGAAAATAAACAAAATGTTACTCCTATACTTATGAATACTCAACAGAAACATATTCTTACTACCTAATCTTATCAATGTACTCACCTTAACAATGTACTCGGTGATGGAAGAGATAAAATGTTGTTATCTCTCATATGGAAATATGATTTGGGGCTCTTGATTTTCATTATAGTAGAAGATCCGAACCTAAATCGACCTTCACCGAGCTGATAATAGAACGAAATATATTTTATCATGAATTTAGTATATTAGAGAACATATTAAAAATGGGTTCGCTAAAAAAATCCTGGGCGGACTATTTTTAATTATTTTTCCAAAAATGATTTTTAATTAAATGTTGCAACATCAGGATAATAAAAAATTTTTGTCCTGACTGAAAGTATAAAACGTATAGAATGTGCAGCCGTTGGGTTGTCTACTATTTGCCTGGGCGAACTACTGGGTTGTCAGGTAAACACAGGTATATCGATGCCAGTTACTTTCACTGGATTGGATAATTAAAAAAAATTTATATCATCATAAGCGCTGTTTAATTGCGAACACGTTGATATAGGGTTGTCTGCGAAAATTCCGGTCCTATTAGGGGTTTGCGAATTTTAAAGATTTTAATTTCAACGCGCGTGGAAGTGTATGACAGAGAGATCCGAGGTAAGTAAACTGTGTAATAATAAAGGACCCAACATCGCAGTCGCTTGTGATGGGACCCTGAATAGTAGAAAGTGCGCATGCTCGGTGTGTAAACTATGGAGGGTAGAGGTACCTCTACTACCCTTCATATAGTAAACAGGGCGTGTTATTTTGGAGCAACTGATATTTCAGTAGCAAAAAAAAAAATTAATTAATTACATAATAATTGAATATATTTAATATAATACTAATATATAAAAACAATATAATATCAATATATTGCGTTATAACCATAATAATAAATCTATAATCTATAATAGACAATAAAAATATCAATTACTTACTTTGAAATTTGTTTGCTCTTTCTGGAAATAGAAACAAAGTGGACCGCCAAAAATTTAAATTAAGAAATAACAAAAAAGATAGACTAGACATCTTGTATAACGATTTAAAATTTTATTTAAAAACAGTATGAATACAAAAATAATATTAATGAAAAATAAATTCTAATAAATATTTTCTATTCAATATCTGATTCATCAGAAGTATCATTTTGACTCTCGAATTCGTCTGATTCATTAGATTCTTCATCATTTGCTTCCATTTCGACAATGTCCTGGATTTTCAAAGGAGTTTGATCTCCGATAAAACCTGTTGGTTTTAAGAAATCATCAAAATGCCAACCATAGTTTTCAGGATTTGACTTTGCACACTTCGCACACTTTCTACTCAGGGTCCCATCACAAGCGACTGCGATGTTGGGTCCTTTATTATTACACAGTATACTTACCTCGGATCTCTCTGTCACACACTTCCACGCGCGTTGAAATTAAAATCTTTGAAATTCGCAAACCCCTAATAGGACCGGAATTTTCGCAGACAACCCTATATCAACGTGTTCGCAATTAAACAGCGCTTATGATGATATATTTTTTTTTTAATTATCCAATCCAGTGAAAGTAACTGGCATCGATATACCTGTGTTTACCTGACAACCCGGTAGTTCGCCCAGGTAAATAGTAGACAACCCAACGGCTGCACATTCTTTACGTTCTATACTTTCAGTCAGGACTACAATTTTTTTATTATCCTGATGTTGCAACATTTAATTAAAAATCATTTTTCGAAAAATAATTAAAAATAGTCCGCCCAGGATTTGTTTAGCGAACCCATTTTTAATATGTTTTCTAATATACTAAATTCATGATAAAATATATTTCGTTCTATTATCAGCTCGGTGAAGGTCGATTTAGGTTCGGATCTTAGACTATTAGAATGCATTCATATATCCATTCTAATGTGAATCTGTTTCCAGGACCAGTTGTTATGGCAGCTTTCAAACATGCATTGATCATCTTTCTCTGAACAGATGGAACATTTCTTGTAAATGTTTCCAATTTACTTTGGTCAATTTTCTCCCGCTCAAAACTGACTATCACACTTTTGTTTTGTTGTCTGATATATGCTAGATGTTTTGATTTGCTCATTTCCTTGATGGTGCTGTTGTCCTTTTCCATTATTTCATTTTTAAAGAAATAGTTGTAACCTTTGCACTGTTTAAAAATGTTTTTTTTTGTTATCCACAATTATTATACAGGATTTGCTTCCCCCTTGACAGACTTTTGTATTCTCAAGTCATGGAAACCATCCATTCTCAAAGTGGTCCAGTATTTTTCAAAAGGAGAAAAAACAATAACTCAAAGTCGGTCGATCACAAAATTTGATAAAACCTTCAATGTAACTAGTTTTGGCCACACGGCCATCTTCAGACACAAAAATTATAATGAAGTACCTGAAAAATTCGGACAGTTCTTAATCTAAATAATATGGCAGCTGGGAAAGAACATACCTCTATGGAGAAAACATCTTAAAATTTTTTTTAAATAAAAGCACTGGTCAAGTTATCGTTACAAATCAATCCGGTAAAACTAATTATCTTTGTAGCGGCTAAAAAGCCAAAAGAACTTCAAAATAAGTAAGTTTGGCATCAAGGAGAAGACACGTTTTTTTAAAATCTACTCAAAGGAGCTTCATCTGCTTCGAAGGCAAGCCATCAAAAGAAAGAATTATATAGTGGAGCAAAGATGGGAATGTGAAAATTGTTATTTGACATAGAATTATTGACAATTCAAAGAATGAAATTGGGAAAAACAATATAAATTTAACATTCATATCGAAAAACAACCAACAACATTACAGAGAAAGCGTAATTCAAAAACCTAAATTATATAATGCAATAAAATTATTAATATTAGAAATTGATGATAGAGAGATAAGTGAAAGGGCCCTGAATATACAATAACAAAAGGAAGAAGAATTGTTAATGGTAAAACAGAGAAGAAGCCGAAAACAAGTCTGTCAAGCAAGTGGAGACAGAGTCTGCTCCAGCGTAAGGAAAACTGTAATTAACAAATTTTAAAAAATTATGAAAAATGTAAAGTGCGAAAAATGGTATTCCGATTAAAGTTAGTCTGGTCATTTAAACAAATGCTATCCGGATTATTGATACATTTTTGTATCTCCAAAATCTCCAGAAGGTTTAACCGATGACCTTTATCGCAAACATGAATGATATCCATATTGGAATTAACATTAAAACTGTGGTTTGAATCAATTATGTGATTGGCAAAGGAAGATGTACTAGATTTTCCAGAATTGAGAAATTTATGGATAAATCTGCTGTGTTCAGAGACACGAGTCTCAAAACTTCTACCTGTCTGACCAATGTATGATGAGTTACAATCATTGCAATTGAGTTTGTACACCCCAGATTTCTTGACAAGGGGAATTTTATCTTTGGAATTGACTAATAAATGTTTCAAATTAGAAGAGGTTTTGTAGGAAAAAGAAAAATTTTTGAACATTTTTGCTAATTGAATGGAATAATGACCAAAATAGTGTAATGATTTGTATAAGGGAGGATCAACAACTTGACTGGTAGTGACATTAAATGATAATCTATGTTTAGTGTAAAATTTGAAATATAGCTTCATGATCAATTCAAGAGGAAAAAGATTATTTAGGGCAAATGTAGAGAACAATCTGACATGGTTTCGTTGAGATGATATGCCTGATATGCCGAAGGCGTGGGGGACCACGAGGTGGAAGGCCTCCACGTGGGGGACCACGGGGAGGACCACGGGGAGGACCACGAGGTGGAAGGCCGTCAAGAGGGCCACGTGGAAGGCCGCCGCCAGAAGGAGGAGGGGGGCCTCCACGTGGGGGTGGACGATTTATGAGCCAAGGTTGTTCATTTCTTGGTGGCGTTGATGGACTTGGAGGTGCGGCGGTGGCGGCCCGTCGTGGTGACGGTGTTAGAGGGTGTAGAGGGGGCAAGGGTAACTGAACAGGACCTGGTGCTGGTCTAATATTAATTGTATGACTATTATTT